ATGTATCCGAAACGCGATCAATCAATCCATACTCAGTCGGCAATGTCGATTCCGTCCCTTGTAAGTTTTCTATATATATATATATATATATATATATATATTGGGATTTTAGGACAGTGGTATATACCGCATGACTAGGTATCTCTTGCCTGGGAGTGGCCTTTATGGGAGATCCCAGTCCATTTCAATGGGAAAACTTCCATAAGGACGAGATCTTACGCGAGTGATCGTAAGAAAGCTCCATGTACGGTTGTCCCCATCTGAGAAGACTACGCACCAGAAGAAACTGCTTTCAGCCGATAAGTTGAAACTTCTGTTGGACTGGAAAGAAGCTGTTTTTCGATCGGATGATAGAAGTTTCAGAAGCGAATTCCGGCTGGAATCCAAATCAAAGGAGAAAAAATCCACCGCTCAATTTTCTGACGCGCAACGGGGATTTCGGTTATTCTGAACATAATCCTCCACAAAGGCAACCTCACGAGGTGTACGGACCGAAAGATTGTACTGCGTACTTTCGTGTGCCATTTTTCTTACGTGTGTGGTGTGGTAACCAAATGTAGACAAAACCAGCTGTCGGCGGCGTTGGATAAGATAATCAACCTCGTTTCATCTACAGATACTGGGCATCTTGATGCATCCAATACTGTTCGGTCTAAAGGCTGTCTACATGCTTAGGCTTACGTTACTTACCGAAATGGATCGCTGCTATTTGAGACTTGGCTTCGAGTGCACGATAAATGTATACCAAGTATGAATTAACCGCAGCAACCTAATGATCCATCTTTGGCGGCCGAATTCCTCTTGACACTGGCACTACGGGCCAACACAAATATTTCTACAATATTGCAGAACGGTAGTTACAATGGGTCGGTGCCATGAACCGGGATACAGTGACTTCAGAACGTATGAGACAACGTAAAATGGACAAACTAATCATTTTCTCATGTGTGAGAAGTTCCTGCACAGGACGGAAGTCTAACTGCAAAACTACTAGCTAACGAGGAAGGTTGCGATTCTGAGGAAACGCATGACTAAAAACGTGAGCTTTGTTTTAGCCAGTAGTTGGCTAAGTCAGGACGATCTGTTTAATGAACGTGTCACTGATCTTCATGGAGGACTTGTCAACTACAAAGCAACAGCCTTCCATGATAAAGGGGTGATGGGATCCTTAAAATCAGGAACACGAGACATTTTGCCCGAGAGCTACCCAATCAATGTCAAAGTGCTAAGTTATAAGAGGGGAAAATGGCTCGCGTGGCTGCATATTTTTAGGACCCGACCAATCCTTCACAATACAGGGACAAAAACTATCGATTTGCAATGTCTGGTAGGCAATCTAGGAGATTTATTTGCATCTAACCAGATGGGGCTTGTGCAGATCAGCTGGGCAGACGAGGTTGAGGACGTTTTAAGTACTCGAATGTCGTTGAAGGCATTTGGAAACTCCAAGCTATTCAGGAGAAATGGTATAGGACCAACACGAGAAAAGGTATTTTTTTAAAAGAGTACCTCTGTTTTTTATCGGTGTCCTGCTAAATTCGGTCACTTCTCAGAAAAGATCTCGTCTAGCCGGTCCTCTCTCACATGGCCTCTCAAGACCACGGAACTGTATGGAGTTCCGTGTTGTTAGACTGACTGTATTGGTCTCTTTGTGGTGGGTTTACACGCAAGCAACCACCTGATAGCTATAAGCGGCAGATGCTTGGATATAAGCGAACACATTCAAAGTTCCAGACGGCCGTTCTTGTTGTGGAAGCACTCAAACGCTACGGAATAAACCTCGCTGCATTTGGCGAAACCCGAATGGTTGATTCATTTTATACTTTCTGGTGCGGTGAAACAACACAAGCAAACCGACCTGGACATGCTGCTTGGTTCGCGGTGGTAGATCACATAAATCAAAGAATAATGTATGAACTAAAATGCAGCAACTCCAGGACGGTGGCTATACAAATCAGGTGTTTCAAGGCAAGGTTTGGAAAATTTACCAGAGCATATACCTCCGACTCGTCAAAACACAGACGGGAAGTAGTATGAATCCTATGGTAAACTGTCGGATACGCACATCCAAGTGACTAAATTTCCCTGTCGGGTGATCTGAATACTCGGAATACCAAGGACTCGGAAATCTGAAAGAAGATAATGAGACCCTACGGAGTCGTAGCAATGAAAGAAAACGGCGCGAGATTACTAACAATCCATGTAGCACTCGAAAAAAAACACGGTTTACCGTGGAGCGGATAGTGTTCGCCAGGTGGATCCACATAATCGGCACGGACAATTACTCAAATTTATCGTTGTATGGTAAAGGCTTCTGTAATGTACTGACCATGCGTGAAGCTGAGTGAAATACGGAGTACTTCCAGACAACTGTGGCACTTGGAAAACCGTTTTCTGCTAACGAGGAACATGCATCGAAATTTTGCAAAACTTGAAAATAGTTGAAGCTTAAGCACAGTCGAAAGCCGGTGGGTTCGATTACAGACACGTATCAAGCTGTTGCCATGGGTACCACTGCAATATATCAAAGATAGGGGGCGAGATCAGTTTGACGAGAAAGACAAGTTAGCATTCGGCAAAACGACCCAAAGTATGATGGGCAGAGCCGTACCGAATTACGTTAGAACCACTGGGACCGAACTTTCGAAGCGGTTGCAGCAGGCAGAGAATCAATTACAGACTAAACTAAGTGCGTGCGCAGCACGGATACCACAAGGGAATTTCCGCCAAACCAGAAAAAGAAGTCTATGGATCGAAAATTGCACTTAGTTCAATTCAAGCGAAGTGGCGAAAAAATGAGGGAACCTGATATATATATATATATATATATATATATATATATAGTAAACTTTGAATAAAATTTTACGGTATTGAACCAGCCAAAAGTGTACTTAAATAACTTAAACAACATGGCACACTTCCATCAACAACCTAATTGATCTAAGATGATGAAACCGAATACGGCCTCAGAACAGCCGCAAAGTGGGAAGGCATCCGGACATACTCGAGAAACTGTTCAATGGAAAAGAAGTCGAAGGAAGACAGAGATAACTTTCGCGGAACCAGTTTTCCGGAAGCAGTTTGGCTCGTATCCTGCTCAATCCACTAGTCATTGATAAGATGAAGGAATACTTTACTGGAGAGCAATGTGGATTTAAGTGTGGCCAAAATATAGGTGAATTAATGTAGGGCACATACGGGATATATGTAACTAGAACCGACCGATATGTGGAGTATTTGTGGACCTTACGTAAGCCTTCAATTTAGTCAACAGAGAAGCACCACGTAACGCGGGCTTTCCAAACAAATTTGTCGACCTTATCAAAGCATTCTACGATGAGACAATAGCCCGGGTGCGGAATCGTGCAACTACATCAACCGGGTTCGGAAATGAAGTGTGGTTTTTCCCCAACTCTGTTTAGAAGTCTCTCCACTGCACCGGTATGACAATTCCACGCCGTTTAAAAGGCTGTTTATTCATCCCGCGGCATTTTCTAACCAGAACCTTGATGCACAAGACCAATGTCTGTAGGCTGTTGTTAGTGGATTACTGCGCTTTATTTACGACAGCGAAGCATAAGATTTGAAAATAGAAAGCATTAGCGTTAAGTCGGTACAAAATATAACTTATACAGCCAACCAACTACAGACCAGCAGACCAAACTGGTCGACTCGTCCAAATATGCGAGATCTGCAAACCAAGAACGCGGGATTGACTGCAGTCAATGTCTATTGCACTGTCCAGCCTATAGCAAAAGTGAAGAGGACGAGTGGTACTGGAAAAGTCACCCCATCTGGATTTTGCAGGCTTTTATTCCGCACCGTAAACGCGAATGCGTTTGCGATCAGTGAGTGCAATTTGGTGAGGCTAATCAACTGATCAGGCGTCTTATCTTTAACATTGACCACTAATAAACGGAGTCAAATGCGCTATGAACAATTGTTGCTATCTAGACAAGCGTGGATGGATTTTTGGTCGGTCATGGAAACTACATTTAGAAAGTGGTGCTTCAGATAAGCGGAGTTTCTTCAATTAGATATGTTATGGTGTCCTCTGAGCAGAAGACGACATAAATTAGGCTAATAAGGGACAAATCGTTCATTGTACAGAAGATTCTGGTCGATCATCTTTTTAGATTTGAGGCCGAAAATGTCACGCAACATCCATCCAGATGTCAACTAAATTGCGCTGACTGAGTAGGTCGGTACGCTGGCCATCATCAGAATCAACCATCATTGACAGCAATACACTAGTAATATATACACCAGCGCTTAACTACCATGAACCAACTGTGCTTGAATCTCACAGTCCAGTAGCAGATGTCCTTCGATAAAGAGTATACAATATGCGCAAGAACGGCTTGTTGGTCCATCCATCCGAGAGTTCGCAAGTTAAGCGTTGCAATAAAACTAGACCACGAAGCTTGAATGGCAGACACAAGAAGATAGCTGCGAACGGTGGCATGCAGATGATCAAGTTATTGGGTGCCTGCAGCTGAGACCTACAGATTAATGACTACCAAGTGAAACAGGAGAGAAGCTAGGAGAGGATAATGAAGAATGGGGTGGATAACAGATCCGCACTGCCGCACACAGCTAATAAGGTGATCCGACTGACTTCAACACGCAACGGCCGATGCGCACCGAGGTACTGTCAGGAGGATAGCTATAGTCCAAAAGTTAGAGCTCAAAAGCCTGACCGCAAGGCAGCGATGGACGGCGTAAGACTGCTGCTAAAAAACGAATTGGCAAACATTTTCGACCCCAAACAAGGAAGACCGGGAAGCTGCGTTTTCCAGACTTCCACTCAAAAGCCCGCAAGGCAGCGATGGACGGCGTAAGACTGCTGCTAAAAAACGAATTGGCAAACATTTTCGACCCCAAACAAGGAAGACCGGGAAGCTGCGTTTTCCAGACTTCCATCTAATGGCCAACCCGGTAAAAAAAATCGTGGATATTGCTTGGGATACTTCGGTACAGTGGGTTAATTGGGTATATAAGCACTCGAGCCATGATGAGGTTCAGTCACTTTACGACGGACGGGTTGGTCAGTGCTGACCAGTGTCAAATTTTGGTATCGTCTAGAACAATTTTATGTGTAGTAACTTGCTCCCACATGAATCCGTATTCTACTGCTACACAACAAGCGATCACATGTGAAGTGGTAACCCAAACTGACTCCGGCCGGATGTATTGTCATTTTTGGCCATTGAGTCAGATTACGGCGACTAGTTCGAATGAGAAGTAAACTGCCTTCAGGGCTTTGGAGCATGGACGGTATGGAGCATAGAAACTATGAAGTTTCTGGAGGGGGTAGCAAGAGTCCTGTTTTACCGTCCCTTGATTGGTCATGCAACTGTAACCGTCACAGAAAGAAACCTCAACTTCTAGAGCGAGACAGATGGAAATGCGTTCTTATGTGATAATGGACTGAAGCAACAGCGGTAAAACGACTACGAAAGTAGGACTAACCTTCATTAATGACACGCCATAGACTCCCTGTTTTAAGGCTGGCTTCATTTGGTGACAAACCCGCTGTAGAAACTGATGCGGCAAGACGAATATGAGGACATCAGCGTCTTGCGTGGCGTGAAGCAGATCTGGAGTGGCCACCACATTGCAAGGTAATCTGACACCCGGCAGGTATTTGGTATTTTCATGTTTTTCGTTTATGATTTCGGTGAGCTTCTTGTCGTTAATCATTTCCTCAAATACCCACATACGAACCTTAGAGAAATTGGAGAAAAGAAGTTGCATATGTAGATAAGCAACACAGGTACCACAAGGACTTCCAAGCAATGCAGGTTTTACTTGTAATCAATTTGCTATTCGACAGCTCTGAATAGAAATACCAATAGCCAATTTCGTATGTTACTACGAGACATGTCAAAAGCAGGAGCAGAACCAAGAAGCAACACAGAAATATAGATCTACGATACACCAAAATGCTATCAGTGTCGCAGCACAAGGTTAAGAACCTTTTAAAACTCTGCAGTAAACAAGAACCAGTTTCATAAAATCAAGCAGTTATGGAAAATCTGTTGATCAAAAGCCACTAGCCACGTGCCTGCTATTGCTCACATCCGTCAAGAGAATAGTAGCAGTAGCACAAACCGATTTTTAAGATCACAACGGTGCAATATATTCATCATATACGGGGGTCAAATGGTGAAAGTAAAGACAGGTTATCTACAAGCCGACAAGTGAACCATAAAGGGTGTCCAGTCCGTGAACGCAAACGGTACACAAAATCGTCAACTGTGGTTTATACATTTGTTCCTTTTACTTGGTTTGAACTTGTGATTTCAGAAAGACTGGTTACGACCACACATATTTGATTACTTTCGTGCTTGGAACACTCAGTTTAGGAAAGTACAGACTGAATGCGAATTGAAGGTGTACGAATCAGTCAACACTGAACTATAACTCTTCTGATTTTGACGTCCTTCTGCTGTGCTTTTTGGATAATACGTACGCGAATCTTGTAGGAGGCAGACCTCAATAAGAACTGCGTATTCACCCTACATCACTGTTTTCCTATTGTTCAGTTATCATAAAGCAAACGCAATGTTTTATCTACGCTCCTTCAAGTGATAGCACGGGGCATTCCCAACGACCTTTTAAGGGAACTACCCCCTCTAAGACATGCTTCGAGAGCTACTGTCACAAAAGTGCAAGTTGTAGATATTGCAATGTCTTACTTCCATCGGCGGCATTCGAAGTACCATCAGAAGCCACTCGTAGTTAGAGTAGGAACTATCCCTGTCAACCGAAAATGGCATCTTAGGCTTCAGCTGTTGTAGATAATAATAATAACAAATAACAATCGTTCAGCTGTAACACCCGGTGCCTAGCTGCCATGCCACCTGGAGGAAGCACGAGGGCTGGGATACTGTCAGGTCGCCCAGGCCTAGACAGGGGCTGGTGTAGATTCGTGGAGACGAAACTGTCACCAGCATTTGGTGTCGTCATTAAAGGTACGTCAATAAAAATGTGGACGAATGCCGAAACCATGGACATAAACTTTGCTTGTCGCAGGTGCCACTGGGAACAGCAGCGTACTTATATCTGTTGTCCCCCCTACACACACACTTTACATTCATTTGGTTCTAACACAAGTACTGGCTTTGGGATATGGCCAGATTTCCAACACTTGATAGTCGCGTTTCCGCTGTTACGAAGAGTACCAGAACACCATTCAATTAGATCTGTAGAAATCTGGATTGCAATGTCGTACATGAACTAAATTAACCAAACTCTTATGAAGCCAATAGTATTATCACCGGTGTTACTGCTAACTCGACAGTCCAAACACAGAAAGAAGGAAGTGGTCCACTGAAACCCAACAATATGAAGAATTTATACTATTAGGTTAAACTGAGCCATTGCATCGGGACCATCAGAAATCCAAAAAGTTGGCTGTAAAACATGCGAACGGCTCCAGTCGAGTTCCGAACTTGCACGAGTGTTTTATTTCTGAATTTGTTACATCTCAACTGATAGTGGGGAGAAATTGCTAAATTGATACCCACTATCCGCTTGAGCTTATGTACAGTGATTGCTTGAGGCATATAGTAAGCACTGTGTGCACCAGAACATGAGATGGACAACGCACTAAACGAGTGTCACATTAAAAATCTTGTGTTTGAGTGGGATGTGAAAACTTGGTGCCGCTAATAACGAAAGTGGCAAGAAGTAGGAACACGAAAAAGTATGATAGGATCACCGTTGATAATTTGATTCTCTCGGCTATTGGAACTCCGCCCATAAGGACACCACGTGTGTTCTTCCTTAAAAATCCGCCGTACCTTCAGATAACTGGGTTCACGACGACCGCATGCGACCTTCGCTGCTGATTCATGAACACATCAAGGCGGTTGCTCCAACCTGGAACTCGATAAACCAACACCACACAACGCCCATCACAAGCCAATGTGCCCACATTGCGCCATTTCACGGCCAACCAGCTGTCGACCTTTATTTAACGGTTACTCGAGAATCCTAATTGGATACACGCGCCAAAATTACATCAACGCTTCACACATGCGCATCCACTTATAAGATTACGAAAACGAAAATAATCGCTCAGGTCTGCGAAACTTTGGTACATGACTGTAGTTCAACCAGAAGAAAGCCCGTGAGCTGATATACTGTCAAGTTCCCCAATTTTAGATGGGGGAAATGGAGAGACATGGATTGGACTCGAGCCATGGTGGACTTTACCGCCAGCAGTGATTAAATGTTTGAAGCCGGGTAAAAGAGGCTTACTTCCATCTCGAATCCGGGACATTTCTGTATGTTACAACCGACAATCTTCGCAATGGTAGAACCCCAGTTTCCCGACCCGATAACGCTGACGCGCCGAAGAGACATCTTACGCACCAACTTAGGTACTGGAAGTGATAAGGGGAGAAAAGCATGTTACAGACAGCTTCGATACTCAGTATGGTTCGACATTACCACAGAACCTAAGTGCAACATACCGGGAGAACGAAAAGGCCGACAAAACAACACAAGGGCAATGCGAACAAGGGTCGTCTTCGCGCTTCCGCTAAGTTCAACTATCTTGGCGCGTGCAAACTACTTAGTTCAAAATCATCCGGTCCTTCAGTCCGAGACTTGGACACACGGCCGTAATTTCTCTGAAGCCTTAGTTTGCAGAGAGGGATCTTCAACATGACGCTTCAGTATTAGATGGTATACTCTGGTCCTTAAAATCTACACACGCTGCCGCAGTTTTAAAGAAGTCATTTAGGCGTACACGAGGCCCATTGTGGGCGCGGGATTCATCGTACGAGAAGCACCTGCTGTCTAGTGTGGTTTTGTCTACGGGGGACAAGGAACTAAAAGACATCACAGTTTTTCCTGAACCCAGCCATATGTTGTCTAAGTTTTTTCCGACCGGCTTCCGATCAATCGATGGCTAACCGAAGACGAGTTGCGCACTTGCGGGGTCCCTCTGAAATATAGAACACCATCCTGTGAGGTGCCACAGTTTGTGGATGATCGATTCGGCAAGATCTTGCCTCTCAGGATATATGCAGCTACAGCCGGAAGTTTCGACCGACTGTGCTGTGTGGGTGCTGCATATTTTGGTTTTATTGCGGCAGATGATATGCTTTTGGTTCTGGCAAAACTTCGGGAGACCGGACGCGTGCTTGTGTGGCATTCAGAACAAGGTCACTATAGTCACATGTTCTTCTCCCGATGGCAGCAGATAACGTTATTCCGACGCCTTCCATATGAAGTGAATGTAGACGGAACACATGTAACAAACTGCTTTGCGTAAACTTTTTAAGGCACCTAATTTTCGGCCTGTAGATACAAGCTCTATACATACTCGATAACGGATGGCATTGTAGCCGAGCGTCCGGTTGTTTGCTTTCGTGGACAGCAAACGGTTTGCTCCTGCGCGTTAACTGTCCTACTTATTCAACGAAACGATGGGCGAAAATTATCCAGTTAAACTTTTGTTATGCAAAAGTTGGTGGCGCAAATGTGAGCGGCAGGAGTCCTGTTCGGCTGTGACGTGATGTTTGTTAATTTTGTATCCGAAAAGTCATCAGGAAGCAACTATGTATCATTCAATATCCGTTTTTTGTTCATAGAAGCATTATGCCAACAGCTGGCACATATTCTACTCCAAAGCTCACCTGGACAAAGCTGTACAGGCGTTTTGTTCATCGTATTACAAGCACGGAGATTCCTGCAAGATCCACAGCTTCTGCTCCACGCGGATCTTCAAATTGTTTCGTATCTTACCCCAAAAGGGGCCATACACGCACAGTCCGCAGTAGCTCACTTTGGTAATACGGCCAATAAGCGTCCGCAGAATGCGAACGACCGACCTTAAGACCGGGTGCAGGTAGACCGGATCCGACAGGCTTAATCATACCACATAAAAGGTGTCCCAGGACGCCGAGTGGCTCATGAGAGAATTTAAGATGCATGCATCGTACCACTCTGCCAGACGGCAATTCCTGTTGGAGGACTCCCAATATCTGAACGTGGTCTGCCAAAAGACCCTGTAATAATAATAATAATAATAATAATAATAATAATAATAATAATAATAATAATAATAATAATAATAATAATAATAATAATAATAATAATAATAATAATAATAATAATAATAATAATAATAATAATAATAATAATAATAATAATAATAATAATAATAATAATAATAATAATAATAATAATAATAATAATAATAATAATAATAATAATAATAATAATAATAATAATAATAATAATAATAATAATAATAATAATAATAATAATAATAATAATAATAATAATAATAATAATAATAATAATAATAATAATAATAATAATAATAATAATAATAATAATAATAATAATAATAATAATAATAATAATAATAATAATAATAATAATAATAATAATAATAATAATAATAATAATAATAATAATAATAATAATAATAATAATAATAATAATAATAATAATAATAATAATAATAATAATAATAATAATAATAATAATAATAATAATAATAATAATGTTTATTCCCAACTTGTGGGTGGCGTAACGCCTGACATGATTATAGTTTTACAGTCAGAATGGAGCATAACTGGGGGGTTTGTGTGGGTGGGGATTGCACAAAAAGGGGACAAAGTCATAAACAGTAGGGAATATTCGACGAATACCCGCCATGAATTTACGAAAATACCATTGACGAATTGCATTTTATTTATTGGCATCACTGATACAAGCTTAATTGGTAGTCGCTCCATTTTTCATTTTCTTAGGATTCACTTCACGGGACAAGGATTCTGAAACGGAAAATGGGCAAGCAATTAATCTTCGTGAACAGCGTTTAAGCATCTGGATGTAACGGAATTTTATTTGTTTGCTTACCTAGTGGTTCATAATTCCAATTCCCGGAATGAGGGATAAATCTATAGTCGTTGCGGATTGCCATGGGTTCATTGATTCGTCATTTTAGGCCTTCGAGTTACAATCACACGAATTCTTCGTCATCACGGGGTTCTAAAGCAAGGTCCACAAAGCTTATGCTAAGAATTTGGGCCTCAAGTTACCAATCCGAATGTGTCCGAGTACCTGATTGGCGGCGTACGTCGTCATCCGGGAAACCACACGTAGAACGCAGATATCTCCCTCCCGAATTTCTCGGTGGTAACAAACCTGGGATCTGTTCTCCTCAGGATTTGCAAATCGTGGCGAAATCTACGCGACTAATGTTTGGTGCACAGTCACTTGCTCAGCTGCAATATCAAAGCGAGCCATGGGGTGGAATATGTGCCGACTGCGGTTGGAAGTTGTCTGCAAAATTTACACCAATGCAATGAAACGCACACGTTTCCGGATGGCTTGGCGTGCGTGAAAATAGCACAGCATTATATCGCAGCCGAATACAGATTTGGCAGCCCATATCTGCGGGCATGAGAAAGATAAAGTGGCAGATTATAGGTAAGAACACTTGGGAGGGCGCTTGTCGCACTTGCGGACTAATGCTCTGCGATTCAGGCTGGTAAGCGAAAGTGCTAAGATTTAGTAGTGACACGACAGTCCTGGTGAGTGCGCAGAATAGGAGGGCTTAGGGCATATTTCAAAAAAGTGTCTAGTGTGTATAGTCGCTTGACGAAGGCCGCCTTTCTTCTGCTTGGAAGAAGCGATTGTCACGCCAATTTACAAAACTGGTGACCGACTATCACCTGGCAGCTATAGGCCTATTAGCCTCACTAGCGTGCCGTGCAAGGTGATGGAACGCATTCTGAAGCAAGCTATTACAGATTACATTACTTCCAGCAATCTGATATCTCCAG